TATGTATTTATTTTAATGTATATTATTGTAATATAATGTTATAAAACTAATTATAAATTTGTTAATCGTACTTCTTGAATATTTCTGATGTTAAATTATATTTGTAATTTATTTGTTTTTTATAAAATATTTTATTTATTAATTAAAACAATATTAAAATATTTTTATTTGATGATTTAGAAATAAAATATTATGCGTATTAATTATCTAATATTTAATGTAAAAATATTTTTTTGTTATATATCAATTCTTCAAAACAATAAAATGAATATAAAAGATTTATTAAAAGATATAAGACATATTAAAAGATTTATTAAAATCCAATAAATTTGGTTGTTTATATGTCGTATAAATGATAATTTAATTTATTATAAATTTAATATTAATATTTCTTAAAATTGTAAATTAATTTTAAATAATAATAATAATAATTATCATTATTTTAATTATTTTTAAATAAATTAAATTATTACAAGTTTAAAAAGATTATTTGTTTAAAATTCAAAAGTTTAAGCAAAAATAAATTTGTTCTTCAAAATTATCAATAATAGAAGTTTTTATTTTTTTTCTAAACTACAATATTTTTTTTTTTTTCATTTTAAATATTAAATATTATAACGTATCAAAGTATGTACTAAACATTATAAGTCAAAAGTCTGATGCATAGGAATGATATTATAGGATTTATATTTCTAATAATACAATGCACTTGATCGTTCCGACTGTCATGTCGTTGCAAACTCGCAACGATATCGTGTCGCTTGTGTGTATCTATACAAATGATATAATTTATTTTATAATATACGTAATTATTATTAGTGTCAGCATAAATCTTATTTGTTTATTCAATAGAATAATATTGAATATACAATGATGTACGAAATAAATTTAAATACGTATCATAAATATAAATGTGATCAAATAAAAAATATATATATTTTATGTAAAAAATATCTCTTCGATTCAATAACCAATGAATCTATTGCAAACAAAGAAAAATGGTATTAAATAAAGATCGACTGTCGAATTTATTTAATAATCTATAAAAAAGTATGTAAGAACAAACTTTTATAAGTTACAATTGTTCAATATTTGAGTGTGATATCAAAGATCACATTTAATAAATCGATGCAACGATAATTTTTAAATATGTAAATTGCAATTTATATTAATTTTATTTATACTCTATTGTAAATAAGATAAAGAATAAAAAATTTAATATTTTATTAATTTTCTTAGAATAAAAAAATGTTACCATAATAATAAATCTTTTTTAACACTGTTCAATGAATATCTTATGTATTTTGAAATTGAAGATATTTTACTTAATTTATTATTCGGTATGGAAATAGTTTGGAAGAATATAAAATTTAAATATATATTTGCTTGTATTTTAATCACATTCATTATTTCATGTCTGATAAGTATTGCACCTATGAGTATTGGTAAGTTTATAATTTTAATAATGAATTATGAAATATTTAACAATATTTTAAAATTTTTAAATTTTATAATTTTAGATGAATGCAAATGTGAAATAGTTACTCAATCAAATCAATATAACCATAAACAGCACAATAATGCTGTGAAAGTTTATAAGAAATCATTACATCGTTTAGCTATACTTGTGCCATTTCGAGATCGCTTTGAAGAATTGTTAACATTTGCTCCTCACATAAAACAATTTTTAGATAAACAAAATATAGATTATCATATATTTGTACTTAATCAGGTATATTTTGATCAATATAATTATTGATAAATTTAATTATTATTTAAATATAATAATAACATTTTTTTTAATTTTATAGATTGATAGATTTAGATTTAATCGAGCCTCTCTTATAAATGTAGGTTTTCTTGAAATTAATAAAGAATTTGATTATATAGCTATACATGATGTAGATTTGTTGCCAATAAATGATGAATTATTATATTCTTTCCCAAATAAGGGTCCTTTCCATGTATCTTCTCCAGAATTACATCCTAGATATCATTATTCAACTTTTGTTGGTGGAATATTACTTATTAAAAGGTATTTATTATAACAATTATTTTTATAAAATACTAAAATATATATATATATAAATATATAAATTATTTTAAACAAGAAAAATATTTTTACAGAGAACATTTTATACAAGTAAATGGAATGTCTAATAAATATTGGGGATGGGGTCTTGAAGATGATGAATTCTATGTTAGATTAAAAGAAGCTGGTCTAACTGTTATAAGACCACAAAATATATCTACTGGAACACATAATACATTTAAGTAAGAAGCATATCTATAGACAATGTATATACATATTTTTTAAATATGTATTAAATATTAATATAAATGTTTAAATTAATTATTATATAATTATTATTTATTTTAGACATATACATGATAGAAATCATAGGAAAAGAGATATGATAAAATGTTATAATCAACGCGAAGTTACTAGAAAACGAGATCGTCAAACTGGTTTAAATAATGTTTCTTATAAAATATTAGGCACAATCACAATGTCTATCGAGAATACTCCATTAACTGTTCTTAATATTTCCCTAATGTGTGATAAAATGATTACACCTTGGTGTGAATGTGATAAAGTAACTGGATCTAAGGATGGAAAATCAAAGGAAAAAAAGAAAGTTATAAATAATAAATCTGCTACTGGATTATAATTATTCTGACAAAACTTGTATTAAAAAAAAAAAAAAGAAAATATATATATATATAATCACACATATAATCAAGTGTATTTATTATTATACATTTTTTTCTATTTTATATGTATCCAAATGAGGCAAATATATTTTTTTTACAATTTATAATTATACTTTAAATACATTACTATTATTATTTACTTACACATTACATATCTTATATAATATAAATAGTTTCAATGATCACATATTAAGTAATTAGCATAAAATAAGCATAAAACTTAATTATGTAAAAGTATTATTTATAATAATTATATAAGATAATTATTTCAATTTTACTATTCTTACTATTTTTTAATAGTATAATTAAATTTGTGTACATCTTTAATACTTTATTGATGTATAAATATTACGATATCTTATTGACAATGATAAATGTGAAAAGAGAGAGTTTGTAATAGATCTATTTTTATTTAACTATTAACCTTTTAACAGTATATAAAAAAAATTACAAGGAATTCAAAATATATAAATTTAAAAATAATTATTTTTTTATTAATTTTAATATTAAATACAGAAAACATAATTTTAATTTTTCAAAACCAATAAATTTTAATAATTTTATTGTGCATAATAAAATTAAATTTAAAATATGAAATATAATTATATAATTATTTTTAACAACTTATGTCAGTATTTCTCTAGAATTCACTGTGAAAAGGTTAAAATATAAATCTTAATTTCAGTAAGTAAAACATATATAACTTTAAGATAGACCATTATGCCAAAAATTAATCATGAGCAATGATTTAATACTGCAATTAATTAAAATGGTCTTTTATATTATACATGTATAATAATATTTTTATATATATTTACATTTGAAGTAAGAACATCAGATGATACTGTACAATAAATATAATTATTAAGAGCACAATGGTACATATAGTACAATGATAGAAGAACTTTTATCTAAGTATTTATGACTTAATATTACAGTTCTTAAGATATAAAAGAAAAATGATTTAAAATACAAAATTATGGCTACATAACTGCATTTAGTTGTAAAATAAAATGTTCTCTTAGTTCATTTGTACTAAAATCATCACCATCATTGTTTTCGTCAAAAATATCTTGCACAGTTCCTGTTACAGTTTCTGCACTTTCATATTCAGTCACTTTATTAACAGAATCTAGAAGTTCTGTATCTTTTTCATCTATTTCAGATTCATTATTTATATCATGTGTTTTTTCTGTTTTAACATTTATATTTATAGAATTTTGTGCTTCATCTATGTCACTTTTATTGAGATCTGTGAAATCTTCATTGAGAATTCCTTTTCTTAAAACAGATAGTGGTGGTAATGGAAATCCATAAGAAAGCAATTTATCATATCCACTTCTTCCACAAACTTTTCTAATTTCTGCTGCCATAGATAAAACCTTTTCCGAAAATTCTTGTTTAGAAGTTTCTATTAACATTTCATTAAATTTGCTCATCTTCTCATCTAAAAGTTTTCTTCTTCTCATAATAGTTTGCATGTTTAACATTTTCCTTCTATAAGTATTTGTATTTTTCTCTGCTCTTTCAAGGTATTTTGAGGCTTTTTCTAATTTCCAATT